TTGCTATGCAGCAGTTTAGACAACTAGAACAGGGACCAACTACAGAATCCATTGGTCCCTCAGAGCTTCCTCTAGTGACTTACTCTTTTTGTCCTTGGACTAGTTAGACATCAAGGGCAAGGACTAAGGTGAAGGGCTTAAGGAAAGATTTAAAGACTAAATAATGTTTTATTGTTTAGCTCATCTTATTCATTGGGTCTGGAAATTCTTAATGGGGTTTTGGATTTAAGCATTATAATAATAAACTATGAAGAAGTTGCAGTGGAAGATGGCTGGTTGTAATTTGGGTGTTTAGGATCTAAGGAAAACAATCGTGATTAATATCTCATCTTTTTATTTGAAGTGTGGCCACCCTGGAGGTTTTTATCTCTCAGAAGGATCTCCTCTATGTTTTACCATTCTGGAAACCAGGATCTTGACTGTGGCTGTCAGAAGGTTCCACTTAATTAAAGTAAATATTCCTCAAAGGGATCTAATTATTCACTTTAGCTAAAGAAGAGAATGACTAACTTTATACTTTAGGGAAAAAAAAAATCCATATTTGGTTTTTATAGTGTTAACTCCACCATAGACATGTAAGTAATGAAACAATAATGTGGTATGATTTTGATGGGCAGAAGTTCTGTTCCCTTTAGAGATATGGCTAACCTCCTTATCTAGGTGTGGCTCAGGAGTTATCGCTGTCTTGATCCTCCACATTGTCATTTGGGTTTGCTTGTTTCCCTGATCTTTATGATTCCTGTCCCTGCCCCCTGCCTGGCTGGTTCCCTGGGCTGTGATTCAGGTGGACTGCATCTCTACATTCAAAGAAGATTTTCACAAAGCAGTTTTTTTGAGGAGAAGTCTCAGAATCTGTCTATAATTTATTAAAATTTAAACCGCACACGGTCTCCACCAACAAATTTGCAGTTTTAGACTTGAATATTGTTGAAATGTGGGAGATTCATCCCCTGGTGAGTTCATTTTGCAATGTGTGCTAAGGTGGCTTGTTCTTGGAAATGGATCTTCTTTCTCTGCACATCCTTTGCCTGCAGCCTGGCAGCAGTTGGGCCTGAGAAAAACTTCCAGATTCAGTGTTATCAAGTGTGGAAGTAACTTCAGTTGCTTCTGAACTGTTAGACCAGATTAACTGTGACTTTGCTTGATCTGGGTTTTTGTTATTTCAAAATTTCTGTTAGAAGTGATAAACCCAGTCTGATTCCCTCTTAAAATTGGGAGCCATCTTGCCAATGGCATGAAAAGCTAATTTCGGCTTTATCATACATTCCTGCGATTTCGGAACCTGCTTGGAATGCCTGCCCGAGCCTTGAACTCACCCATGCCTGGCTTTCCCTGACCAGATAGCAACCCTCTCTGAGGCTCTAATGACCTTCATAAATTCTGACGTTGGGGCCAGCAAAAATTTAAACTAGCCTTTGTGTTATGCTCGTCAGAGTTTTGTTATCTGTAGCCCCCTTTGTGTAACTCTCTGGGCTATAAAGCTGGGCTGTGAGAAAGCTGCAGGGGTGTCTTTGGCTCTCACAGTTTTTGTTGGGAGAGGCAGCCCAGCCAGTCGAAATAATAAGCTTGCTTTAATTTGATTTTAATTGGAGTCAGTGGTCTTTTCTTTGTGTCCTGCTCTAACAATGAGGACCACCAAGACACTCAATAAGTCCTTGTTGGGTGAATGAATGAATGATTTTACATGGTTGTAATCTTGGAGCTGATTCCATTAGAGATATAGAAGAAGAAGACATGTGGGTTGCTGGACTTGGTGAGAAGCAGAGAGAGGCTCAGAACTCGAGTTCTTGGTCTCAGGAGCTGCTGGTTCATCTGAAGACTCAGCAAAGCAGATCTTCCTTTCTGAGATTTTCCTTTTCGGCCTTTCTCCCTCTCTCCACCTTGTCAAACTCACCTCTGTCTACATGCAGAGTTCCCCCGTCCCCTCCCACTTCTTTATGTGTCTTCACTGAAGTCAGAGGACAACTTGCCTGCGCTGTGACCCAGCCAGCTTCATGTTTTTCCTGGCAGGCTTGAGCCCAAGCTGGGCTCTGAACATTCCCAGGCCCCAGTAAAGGTATCTGGTTGCAAAACACTGAAAAGAAACTGACTCGAGCTCCGAGTCAAATTCTTTAAACCCTCCCATAAATTCCATACCTGACCCTCTTGCCCTGGTCATACCTAGGTAGAACATTGTTTTTCTTGATGTCCATCATAAGGATATGCAATCTGCTCTGTAAATTCCCCTAATAAATGCTTTGGCTTGATCACCCTGGAATTTAATGCTTTTTTTTTTTTTTTTTTTTTGAAATGGGATCTTGCTGTGTTGCTCAGGCTAGCCCAAACTCCTATGCTCAAGTGATCCTGCTGTCTTAGTAGGATCCTCTTGTCTTGGTGGGCTACCAAGCAGCCAGGCCTAGAGGCATGTACCAGTTGAATCTCAACTGGTACAACTTGGGATGCTTTGGGGTGCTCTTTTGTGGAAATCCCCCTGTTGCTGCTTTTGGCTGGGTCAAACCCCACACAGTACCCTGAACAGATGTCCTGACAGTTTCAGGCACGAATTTATCTATATGTTCATCTCTTCCTGGAGCAATTGTAAGCTTTTTGAAGACAGAGGTCATATCTGAGTTCTTCTTCTCCCTCTCTTCCTCCTTTTCTCCCTCCTCCTTCTTCTCCTTCTTTCTCCTTCTCTCTCTCTCTTTTTCTAATCAGCAACACATAACACAGTTTTGGCTTTCAATATGTAAACAAATGACTATTTGAATAAGTGAAGAGTGCATAATCTAAAATTTTCTCCCATAACACTGAATTTCAATTTTTCTGTTCCTTCTCTTGATGATCACACCTAGGAATATAAAAGTGCTTCAACAGTTTGTAACAGTGCTTCTTTGAGGGCTGTGGCTGGGGCTCAGTGGTAGAGCACTTGCCTAGCCTTGTATGAGGCACTGGGTTTGATTTTCAGCACCACATATGAATAAATGAATAAAATAAAAATCCATCAACAACTAAAAAAATTTTTTTAAATAGTGCTTCTCTTAGACATCGTGTGTATGAATTTTATTTTTTTCTCTTTAAGCTGATTGTTATTTACTTATTTATTTGTTACCAGGGACTGAACCAGGGGTACTTGACCACTGAGCGACATCCCCAGCCTTTGTTTTTTCATTTTGAGACAGGGTCTCACTAAGTTGCTCAGGGCCTAGGCTAAGTTGCTGAGGCTGGTTTTGAACTTGCAATCCTCCTGTCTCAGCCTCTTGAGCCAGCATGCCTGGCTTGTTATTATTTTAAAACAGATTTATTAGAAAAAATTCAAACAATGCAGAGGGTCTTAAAGAAAAAAAATGAAAGCTTACCATTTATCTTTAGGCTCACTTTTCTGCGTAATCAATTTCTTTGTGGTCTTTTCAGTGTTAAATAAAATTTGCTGGAGGCCACTGATCTGTACCAGGCTCCTGCACTAAGCACCAACAGACTAGCCCATTGTGGATTTTAACAACAGTACCTGAGTTTTACTCAATTGCAGGAGGCTCTGTAACCAGTTAATCAATTAAGCCATAATCAATTAAATTATCCATATACTGCACTTCCATTTCCTGTAAATGCTAACAAATTGTATCAGTGGTTAGGAGTCCTCGGAACTTGATTTGTTTCTGGGGGCTGCTTGATTCAGGGATCTGTTCTGTTTATACTTCTGAAATAAACTCTAGTAAATCATAAGAGCCTATGTGTATTTCCTCTTAACACCAGTAATTGTTGGTTTCAGAGATACGGAGTTACCCTAATATGCTCATTTGCCACTTGCTTTGTTTTTGTTAAACATTCTCTCTTCTGGATATCTTTTCATCTCAGTGTATATTTCCATTTTATTCATTTAATGACGACATAGGATTTTATTATACACATCAGATGTCTCATAGTGGATTTTTGTTAAAAAAAAAAAAAAAAACTAGATGGTTTCATTTTTTTTCCCCTAAAAAATGTTCCAGAAATACCAGGAAAATTTTCCAGAAATAGAATCAATGGTTAACAGGATATGAGCAACTGAAATTCTGACAGCTACTGCAAAGCTGGCCCTCAAGGGTTAGTGCTTTTTTGCTGGGTGTGGTCAAGCCAGGCCGGTAATCCCAGTGACTCCAGAGGATTTCAAGTCCCAGGTCAGCCTGAGCAATCTAGCAGACCCTGTTTCAAAAAAAAAAAAAAAAAAAGACTGGGGATGTAGCTCACTGGTAAAGCACCCCTGGGTTCAATCCCTGGTACAGAGAGACGGGGAGAGAGGGAGAGAAAAGAACATAAAAAGATGCTCAATATCATTAATAACTTAGGAAATGGAAATCAACATCAAAATGAGATATCATTTCACACGGCAAAGACTACAATAAAAAAATGGCAAGTGTTGGTGAGGATGTGGAGAAAACAGAACCGTTGTGCACGTTGTTTATAATGTAAAATAGAGCAGCTGTTGTGGGAAATCATGTGGCAGTTCATAAAAAAACAGGGGGTGGGGGTCTGTGCTTTTTGGGAGGGAAAACAAACCTCCTTTAGGTTTTTAAGTCCACAGTCAAATGAGACAGGGCATCTATGCCCCAGGAGTTGGAGGCTGAGAGGGGATCTCCTGGGAGGCACTTGCTGAGCAGCTGCCCCTGGAATGCGGTGTGGCTTCTAGCTGGCCCCTCCAGACGCCGTCCTCATTTCCCAGCTGAGCCCCCGGGTCTCCACTGGAGTCCCTCAGCCCTGGGCAGGATTCCTCTCGTATTTAGTCACCTCTTGGTGAGGAGCCAACGCAAACCAAACAAACGAAAAACGAACAAACCGCGTCTCCCTATGAACAGGAACGACCCGTTTTTCAGCCAACCTCTGCTTGCTGGGACGGGTTGCTATTTCCCGATTATTTACTTTTTAGTCGTATTTTATTTTTGATTGACACCTTAATTGTTGGGGCCTCTCCCTGCGGTTGGTGGGCGTTGTCTAGAGGAAGAGAGAAAACCGAGCTCCCTTCTAGAGCAAAGGGGGTGGGAATCGTGAGTGGCAAACTTAGGACATCAGAGGAAGCCTGCTGACCAGGCTGGCCAGCGGACCACAGGGCGCGGAGGATGGTCACTGGGCAGGTATTCGCCGTGCAGCTGCCCGGTGACACTTCAGTGGCCCCAGGGGCACAGCGCGTAGCTTCGGGGCCGAGGGGGACTTTGGGCACCAAGGCGGCAGGGCCACTAGGGCCTCCCTTCGGAGACCTCAACAGCAGTGGCCGGTCCTCCTCCCTCCAAAAGGCCACTGCCCTCCCCGCGCCACGGTCAGGAGGAGCCCGCGCACGGAGCAGGAAGCCGGGGTTTTCAAGATCCACTTAGAAACTAGCGCGTTGGCGCCGGCGGGATGGGGCGCGGAGAGCCGAGGCTGCGCGCCTCACCCAGGAAGTGACTCAGACCCCGGGGCCGCGTCTCCACGTGGCCGGGGGCGGCCGTGCGGGTCCCGATCCCCGCGCCGGGCTCCGACTGGGGATAGCGGGCGCCACCCGTGGTCACCCGCGGACGGGGGAGTGGACATGCCAGGGATCCTGCCCTAGCAGCTGCCCGAGAGAGGCTGTCGTGGTGCGCATTCTCCCTCCTCCAGCCGGGGTGCACGGGGGCTGGGGGGCTGGGAGGCCGCGGAGTCTCCCGAGGCCCCCGGTTCCACTTGAGGCTTTCTTCCCCAAGGAAGAGCTTGGCAAGGCCCTGACCCCCAGGATACTGGCACCCAAACAAACAAAAAACCCACACCTGGGTCCAATGGACCCTTTCTCCCCTTTCCCTTTCCTTTCCTTCAAACAATTTCATAAAATACTAAAAACAACTATTAGAAATTATGATACAAATTTAGATATAGCAGGATTTGAAGACACACTCACCTCCATTTAATTATTTTGTGTGTATTTGAATGTAGCCGACTGTTCACGAACTGTTATGCAAGAACCCATCTCAAAAAGACTGATTTCAAGTTTCAAGTAGATCTCTAGCCAGGCGAAGTGCACGCACCTCTTAGCCCAGTTACTCAGGAGGCTGAGGCAGGAGGATCACAAGTTCAAAGCCAGCCCGGCAACAAAACAAAAACCAAACTCAAATACACGTCTGATCGGCTCTATCTTAGCATTACTTCTGGTTCTACTTAAACGTGCATTGTTAAAATGCAATTTATTTTTTAAAAAATGATGCTGGGAATCAAACCAAGGGCTTCAAACATGATAGATAGGCAGTCATTCTACCACTGAGCTACACCCCCAGTCCAGAATGCAGATTTTGGGGCGGGGGTAAGGGGATTGAACTCAGAGACACTTCACCACTGAGTCACATCCCCAGCCCTATTTTGTATTTTATTTAGAGACAGAGACTCACTGGGTTGTTTAGCGCCTTGCTTTTGCTGAGGCTAGCTTTGAACTCCTGATCTTCCTGCCTCAGCCTCCCCAGCTGCTGTGATTACAGGCATGCACCACCTCGACCAGCTCAGAATGCAGTTTTTAAATAAACAACAGTGATGGCTTTTTTGTTGTTGTTGTTGAAGAGATTCTGGCATCTTCTTTGTTTCATAATTGCGAAACCTTTTCATGTTTATATTTATAAAAGTCAATTCAAGTGGTCAATAGAAGTTTTTATTTCTTCATGATTTATTTCTTTCTATTTGTTACACACACCTGTCTTTAGCATTTGTCCAGTTATGAATTGTTTCAAGTTAATTTTAGTGCATAAATATTGTAAAAAATGAAAGAATAATGTTATGTATCTTTTTAGCAAAGTGCAATGATTTAAGTTTTTGTAAAATATTGTGTGATGCTGTTCTTCCTTTGAACACTAATGGGATGAGAATACCTTTTTGTCCTTTTGGTGAAATATAATGTTCGCCAGTTGATTCTTGCAAGTTTGGTTGGAGAGCAGCACAGGTACTTGTATCTCCTAGACCAAATTGCAGTATTCTCCATGTGGACAGCCATCTTCCTGCACCCAATGTACAACTTTGGAAGTGTCACATAGGCACCCATGAAGAAGTCAGCCTGATCAGCCATGAGTGAGGTGATGCATCTCAGTGACGTCATATTTCACTCTCTTATGCATGGATGTCTAAGTCTGAGAAAATTCATCTAGGATATTGTCCTTTGAAACTCATGGTATGATATTTCACTTATATAATTAATTCCATCATTGTCCTTAGAGGGTGAAATGGAACTGCCTGCATTTATCTTTTGTTTCATTTGATAATTGTGAAATGTATTCTTTTGTCAGTTTTTTTCTTTTTGCCATTACACAAAGAAAATGAAAAAGTCCAAATTCTCAAGTGTGTCAAGGGAAGCTAATACAAAAACAAAAACAAATAATAACAGCAACAACAATAAAACCCCAAACTAACACCCCACAAAAGATGTAGGGTGTAGAACAACTTTTTGAAAGCTAATGCAATATTTGGCCATCACCATAAAAATGCCACAGGATGATGTGGGTATGCCATGATAGTGATTTATTTCATTTTTGCAGTGTCCACGTGAGTGACTCATTACTTTTATGGTTTCTTAGGATTTTGCTCATTTTCAGTATATTTGAGAATAATAAAGATAATTCCTAGGATGATAAAATCGGGTTTTGAGATATAGGAAAAAACATGACCACTAAGATCCCCAAATACACCTTCAGTTTCTAAAAGGGTTCTATGAATCCACGAGGCAGTTGTGAGACACATGACTTTCATGCTCAATTTTGAAAGCTAAAGAAATCTTCCCAGCATTCTTCAGAAGAACTCTAAAAAAGAATAGAAGTATGTAAAAAATAGAAGTATATATAAATAGAAGAAATACAAATCTTTACAAACTACTTAAAATAATGTGAGTTTCTTTTAAAGCTTACAATGAAAACTAATGTTTGACATCATAATTTCCCTTTTTCTCTCTCAGCATCTGGAGGTTGCTAGGGAAGGGGTGAGACATGAAAGTAGAATTAAAATTGTCTGTTTCTGGAATAGCAGATATCAGTAGTTTAGAGCCAGAAGTGTGTGTTTTTTTCCTTTATTTATTTTTGCACTGGGGATTGAAGCCAGGATTGTTCTACTACTGAGCTACATCCCCATTCCTTTTTAAATTTTTTTTTTTTTAAGTTTTGAGGCAGGGCCTTGCTAAATTGCCCACACTGGCCTCAAACTTGTGATCCTCCTGCCTCAGACTCCCAAGTCACTGGGATTACAGGTGTGTGTCACCGTGCCTGGCTGGAGTAGAGTCCTTTTCTCACTGTTCTGGCTCTGTAAGATTTATTTCTTCTTTTTGTCCTTGATCTCTGAGTTTGTCTTTCTGCCAAATCCCTAAAGGATTTCCCCTAACCTCCAAGCTGGTCTCTGGCTAGTCGGGTCAACAGCATTCTCATTTCCCTTTAGTCATTGTCCTTGCATTTGTCCAACAAGATCCTAACTGGGTCTCCTCAGTGGTGACCGGGCGTGGTGATGGGATCCCACAGTCATGGATTTGTGCTCTTCCAGCTTCAGCCGGGTGCATCTCTCGTAAGTCCCTTTTACTTGTCGTTGATTAGCAGATTTCTTCATTCCCCGGCGACTGCTCCAGGTTCCCATGATTCTTCTGGATTCCCTCCTCCTGGCTCAGCAGAGGATCTGTCCTCCTAAATCATGAAGACAGTAAGCCCCGTGACCATGATTTCCCCCAGTGTCCACCACCACAAACTTATCTCCCCCACCCCACCCCTCCCTCTCTTGTCCCTTCTCAGTTCTGTGCCAGAACTGCCTCCTGCCTTTGATCCTGCCCCTTTTGCATCTGCTCATATTTGGGGCATACTTTTCTCTCCTGCTCCTTCCTTCCTTCCTTCCTTCCTTCCTTCCTTCACTTCCTTCCTTCCAGGGGTTCCTTCTTGGGAGTCTATTAAATGCACTCAAATCTTGCCATGGTAAAAGAAAGCCTTCCTCTCCTACGTATCAGGTTATTTTAACAGAGAGAATTTAACAGAGGGACTTGTAGCCTAGGAATTGGTAACTAGGTAATCGAGCCTAGGTAACTTGTTAACAAGGAGTTGTTTACTGGATAAGCACAGGGGTCAAAAGGCAATAGTCGGGTACCAGGGTGCCTGGACGTGGCAAGCTCAGGAAGCAGCGACTTTCCCAGGGCTGGGAGCCAAAGAAGAGTGTGGAGTGATCAGAAGCTTGGAAGAGAGGCTCTGACCGGGTAAGGGGGTGCTTCCTGCTGGTGCAGGGGTTCTCTAATGGCTGATCTTGTGGGGGCTGGAAACATGGCGAATTGGATTTAGTTGTCTTTGAGGAACAGAATCCAAGTGAGTTCGGACTCCTCATGACTAGCAGCACCTCTGCGGGGTGTTCTTTTGTGGGGAGGCTGCTCTGCTGGGTGAGGAAGCCAGGCTGGAGTGGTGCTGGCCAAGCCGGAAGCCCCAGGAAGGAGCAGTTCCTTTTGCGGAGGCCCAGTCACAGCCTGCGGGTGGGAGTCTGCGAGGAGTTTTGAGGCTGACGGACACAAGCTTAGTAACTGGCCCCCTCCTGTCTCTCCTCTCCGTTTTTCTCTCCTTCTCATCTTGAACAATTTCAACTCAGCATTCACTTTTCTTCTAATTCCTCAAGACCTCTGGAACAGGTCTCCTAGTGGCTAGTCTGTGGCCCATTTCATGTCCCCGAGTGAGGCCTGTGGCTTTGGGGATGTGTTCTCACCCCAGCTTCTGCTAACGCCGAGGCCTGGCTGTCCCTGTCCCTCTAGGCCTGTCTCTTGTGCTTCTTCTGGGGTACCTTCCATTGCTTTTCCCTCAGATGCGTCCTTAGCTGGTCTCTCCTCTTCCCATCTGTATTCCCCCAGGGATCTCATTCTATGGTTGTAACTAGCACCTAAAGCAAATTAACCTGCAAATCTTTGCGTCCATACAACAGCCTGCCGGACCTTTCCATGAAGATGTTCGTTCATCAGCCAACTCAAGTTAAAGACATCTGAAGGTGAACTCACTGTCTCCTTCCAAAACCCACCTCTCCCTATTCACTTTGCCTTTGAAGAAGCAGGTCAATGAGAAAATGTCCACACTGAAGTCCATTCTCTGTTCTAAGGTATATCAACAGTTCAGTAATTCTAAAAGACTTGAATATACAGAAATGAATAAAGATCATTGTGAAATGATTTTATAGGAACGTGTTCTATAAATATTGCTTAAGAGAGCGTACAACAGATTGTCACCAAATAAATGTGCTCATAATTAACGGTACCCCACTGATTTCTGCTTAAGAACAACATGGAGCTTAGTCTGTTTTTCCTTTGGGTTTGTGAATATCTTCCTTCCTGAATTTCAGTTTTGCGTTTTTTTCACTTCTTTGTTTTCATGACACTTAAGATGATATTGTTACTTTCCATCCACATTTCTGTAACTTTTTCAATATCAGCAAATTCTTTTAAAATCATCTACTGTGTAGCACTTTCTTCATTGTGGAAGATGATTCTGCTATAACTGAAGGTCAAGGCCGTTTTAAATACTGCACTTGTAGCAGCTAGAGGCTCCCTGCATAGATCTAGGATTTGTGCTCATTGAAGCTTGTAATTTCTAATCCTCTTCAGCTGTGTTCCACCGAGTTCCACCGCTCTATACATACCAGCTGCTATACATTCAACACTTGTGGTGTGCCAGGAAAATCCCAGCCTGGATCAATATTTCATGCACATTTTGTCTAGTTCTCACAATAAAACTAAGAGGTGAGGATTATAATTATCTTGACAAGTGAAGAAACCAAGGGTCAATTAGTTAAAAAAAAATCCACAAAGCCAGAAGTGGGGTTGCTCCAGCACATTCTTTTGCTCTGTGCTCTCTTGTTACAGCCTATGGGTGCTAGGAGGTGATATCTAAGATCTGCTGCTGGGTGTTTTCCATCTGGCGAGGACTCCTCTAGTGTTCTGATAATGTCTCACATCTGGCCCCCCCTGCTTGGTCCTTACCCCAGCAGTCCATCCTCAGTCTTAGAGATGTCTGTGCACCGCTGTCTTACCTCCCAGCGCCGTGCCCCTCGCGGCTCTGTTTGTGTGATCCCTGGTGAGGGAATGCCCTTTCCTGTGCATTCCAACCACAAGTCTTTTCTCACCAGTCTTGGAAATTCAACATGCATTTGTTCGAGTCCTGCTATTTACTTTTGCTAGGTGCTAAAGATAAGGCAGCATATTTTCCCTTTGACCCATAATGCCAGGTCCACTTTATTAATTCCTATATCAGCATTCAGAGTCCTAAGTTTTTTGGGATTATTTTCTCTTGTGAATTACTGGGTAAGTCTCACTTTGTTTTGTCATAGCTGATATTCTTCAGAGCGAGGACTCTTACACTTTTGGACAGCAAGAGGGTTTCACAGATGTTGGGTGAAATGATCAAGGCTAAATGCTATTTCGTGTTATTGCATAGATTTGTGTGGGGTTAAAGGCCGAACTGTAAACAAAAGCAACATCCTCACCATTTAAGGCTAGCTTTGTGAACTCAGTAGACAGAAATTACCCTTAGACAAACCATTTATTTATATTACAGTAAATTCTTATTAGGGATCATATCTGTGCCCAAGATACATTAAGTTAGGTTCTATTTAATTACTTAATTATTATTATTATTTTGCAATACTGAGGATTGAACCCAGGGCCTCAAACAATAAGCCACATTCCCATCCCTTTTTAAAAATTTGAGACAGGACCTAGTTAAATTACCCAGGCTGGCCTTGAACTTGTGATCCTCCTCCCTCAGCCTCCGGAGGGGCTGGAATTATAGGCACCTGTCATTGTGCTCTGCTAGAATAGATTTTAAAAAGTTAATTTCCATTTTGATATGGTCTGAATGTGTTCCCCAAATTAATATACTGGAAACCTGATCCCCAAGGCAACAGTACTGGAGGTGGGGCCCCAGGGGAGGTGGCCTAATGGGAGGTGCTATGGTTTTGATTTAGTGGTATCTTGCGGGTTTTGGCTGTTAGTATACCTGAGCATGTAGTTTAGGGAGGTGTTTAGGCCGCGAGGCTCTGCCCTCATAGATACAGTAATGCCAACCGCTCTTCCATCATTTGAGGAACGAGTTCCTCTCTTGCCCTTCTGCCTTGCACTATGTGGGGACGCAGTAAGAAGGTCCACACCAGATGCCAGTGCCTTGCTCTGGGACTTCCCCTCCAGAACTCTAGAAATAAATTCCTCTTCTCTATGAATCACCCAGTCATTGGTATTCTTTATAGCAGCATAAAGTGGACTAAAAAGTCTTTATTACTTTTTAAAAATTCAGTGTTATGATTTAGACTAAAATATCCCCCGAATGTCATGTGTAGAGATTTGGTTATCAGACAGCAGCACTATTGGGAGTGGTGGAAACTGGTAGGAGGGCCTGGTTGCAGAAGTGTCACTGGGGGTGTGTCCTAGAAGTGTTACGGCCCAAATTACATATGCCTTCATCAGCAAACTCCATTTACCCTGAGACTCTATTTCACATAAGAAATGCTTGTCCCAGGAGAAAACCCTGCCTCTGCCACCCTGCCTAGCACACCCTGTTTAGCAACATGTAGCAGCTGAAAAAATATTTCTTTATTCTTTTTTTTTTTTTTAAATTCTGATGCAATGTAAGATGTTTTCTTTTAGTTCCCATTTTTCTTGAGCAGTGTATTGTACCCTGAATCTGGTCATTCTGACTCATTTCCTATGTTGCCATGGCTTTTACTTAGGGGTATCTTGCGGTTTTGGGCTATAAATGAGATACTCTACCTTCTGCAGGGGGTAGAGGTGTGCCGAGGAAACTTGATCGCTGCCCCTTGACCTGCTGCTGAATATAGTTTCATGCCCTGCTTCAAGACTGACCCAGTGATTTATTTCAAATGTGCCACAACATAAGGGTCTATCTTATCCCTGTCCCCTTTATTTCTCTCTGTTTCCCAGGCACCATGAAGGAGCTGCTTTGCCTCCCCACACCCTTCCTTCATGATGAAGGGCTGTTTTATCACCGTCCCAGAAACAATGGAATCAGCTGACAGTGGACTAAAATAAAACCATGAGCCAAAATAAACATTTTTCCCTTTAATCTGTTTTCCTCAGGTGTTTCGTCAGAGTGATGGAAAGCTGATTAACACAGAAAATTGGTACCTGAAAGTGGCTGTTAGTATACCTGGGATGTAGTTTAGAAGCCTTTGGGACTGATTTGTGGGAATAGTTTGGGAAGTTTTGGAAACGTAGGCTGGAGAAGCCCTAGAATGTCATAAGCAGGGTTTAATGGATGATTTTAGTGTGAACTTGGAAAAGCAGCATATTGATGATAGTGTGGGCAGTAAAGATGGTGCTCATGAGGTTTTCCAGTTGGGAACAAGGACTCCATCAGAACTGAAGAAGAAGCCCTTTGTGTTACATTCTGGCAAAGAACTGGCCTATATGTTGTCCAAGTCCTGAGACTTTGATTAAGAAAGTTTAAAGGCGATGGACTAATTAATATATTGGAGGAGATTTCAAAGCAGCGCAGCATTCAGGCAGCGGCATGGGCATCACGGGCTCCTTTTAGCCAGGTTCACAGTCAGAACCGGGAGCAAGAAACAGAGCAGTAAGATTTGAAAAAACGTGCAGTTTGTCCAGGAAAAAAGCTCATGGGCAGTTGAAGCCAAGGACAGTGTAGTTGCTGAATATATTAGTGCCTTTAAAAAGAACCCAAGAACCTGGTACCAAGGCAATAAGGAGGATGCTTGGAAGGCGTCGTAAGAATTGGCTGGGCCTCACCCATGCTGGCTCAGAGACTCTGATTGGAGAGAGCAAGCTGGAGCATCCTGCTCCCACAGCTGTTTGGAGGCTGTTTCTCCAGGACTCATTTGCCCACGTTCCGCTCGCCAGGCGTGCGGAGTCCACTGCAGCTCTGGTCCCCGAGGCCTGGTTACTGTTGCTGCTGGAGGCAGACCTTGGCATCTTCCATGTCCTGCTCATTTTGTAGGCATTCAAGGATGCAAGAGTTACAGGTCATGGAGGCTTCCACTGAGATTGTGAAGAAAGACCCAGGAGACCAGGCCATGTGTGGCAGAGTCAGAGTCCCTAGGGTGGCCCCTGAGAGGGTGATTCATGAGTGAAGCCAAACGTTTTTTTTGGTAGCGGAGAGTGAACTCAGGGATACTCGACCACTAAACCACACCCCCAGCCCTATTTTGTATTTTATTTAGAGTCAGGGTCTCACTGAGTTGCTTAGCACCTCGCTGTTGCTGAGGCTGGCTTTGAACTCGTAATTCTCCTGTCTCAGCCTCCCAAGCCGCTGGGTGGACTTGGACTTTTGAGCAATGCTGGAACTGTTAAGACCATGGGACTCTTGGAAATGGTCTAAATGTACTTTGTGAGATGGACATGAGCCTTTGGGGGTCAGTGGTAGAATGTTATGGTTTGGATCTGAAATGTCTCAAACATTCATGGGTTGAAGGCTTGGATCCAATGATCATGAGGGCTCAGACTGCATCAGTGGATTAATCCATTGATGGATTCGTAGCTGAATGGATTATTGGGAGGTGGTAAAAACTATTTGGGAGAGAAAGGTCACTGGAGGACACTGGAGGCATGCCTTTGAAGGGTATATTTTTTGTCTCTGGCCGTTTCTCTCTCTCTCTCTCTGCTTCCTGACTATCATAAGCAGAGTAGCTTTGTTTTGCCACACCCTCTCTATCATGATGTTCTGCCTCTCTACATGCCTATGAGTGATGGGACCAAGCAACTCAGGACTGAAACCTCTGAAACTGTGAGCCAAAATAATTCTTTCCTCCTTTAAGTTGATTTTATCAGGTATTTTGTCACAATATCAGAAAATTGACTAACACCTTCAGTCTGTATTTATTGAGAACCTACTTTTGCCAGACCCTCTTCTTAGAAGCAGGGAATCAGCAGGGATTAAAAACAAAGCCCTTGATCTCATGAAGATCACATTATACACAGGTGATTGTGTATATGCTGCAACATGTAGAAAATGGAGAGAGGCAAAAATAACTAACTAAAGCAAGCATCCACATTTTCATCATAGGTGAGTGTGTGCGTGTGTGTGTTTTAAGATTTGTGTATCCCGGGCAGAGCTTCACCTTGCCTCACACAGCCGTCTACCACCCGTGGACACCTCTCCATTCCCTTCTTTATTCTTTCTTGGAGCAAACCAGATTCCTCTGCCCATGATTAGTAGTTCATTAATCATCTTTTACCACTGTGTGCATCCTCTGGTTCTCACCCT